TGTGTTGAGGGTGATGCTCCCCGTGGGTTTCGGGGGGGGGGGCAGGTAGGAGGGGCCAGCACCTGGCTGCGCTGTCCAGTGCCCTTCCCTGACCTCCAGCCGCAGCCAGTGAGCCTCAGCCTGCCCGTCTGCCATGGCTAAGCTGGCTCCCTCAGGGTGGCAGAGGGCGTGCATGCTCTTGCTCTTCTCTCCGGGCAAACGGCTTGCCAATCCCAACATCCTCCGCAGCCCTACCCCTCTCCTCCCAGGGCTGTGGACAGCCTCCCTCACCTGGCCGTCGGATGAGGCTGTCTGCCTTGGCCAGGCAGGGCCCTGCCCCGTCTGCTCTGGCAGAGGTTCCTCCTGTGACCCGCCTCCCCTGCTCTGGCCAACAGAACCAAGTCTTCCCAGAGCCCGTGTTCACGTGGACGCGAGTTGGGAGCCGCCTCCTGGATGGCAGCGCTGAGTTCGATGGGAAGGAGCTGGTGCTGGAGCGGGTCCCTGCCGAGCTCAACGGCTCCATGTACAGCTGCACGGCCCAGAACCCCCTGGGCTCCACCGACACGCACACCCGGCTCATCGTGTTCGGTAGGACACGAGAACAGCCCCGCCGCGTGCCCCGGCTGGGAGCTGTCCCCAGGATGGAGCAGCAGGAACCCGAGCCCCTAAGTTGGCCCTGAGAAACCCCATAGAGAGGAAGGCCAGTCCAGTGGCTAGAATAACAGCCTTGGAGTTGGAGAGACTAGGTTCAGCTCCTAGTTCAGCTACTGAGCAGCTGGGCAGCCTTGGCAAACTGCCTGGCTTCCCTCCACTTCCCCATCCATAAAATGGGGCTGTCACTAGCCACTCACAGAGAGGTGAGGCTGGGCGGAGCAGGTGACACCATGCGACAGGTCCCGAGTAAAGGGGAGACCTTCACCGGGTTCTGGCTGCGGTCTACGTCCTGTTTCTCTTTCTGCTTCTTTCCAGAAAACCCAAATATTCCAAGAGGAACAGAGGACTCTAATGGTAAGTTCCATTCCCTAAACCCCACCCAGAAAGTAAGCCGTGTTCAAGGCTCCGGGGCGCTCTGGTCCCTCCCCTGCCCCCTGCACACCTTCGCACCTTCCCACACCTCAGGCAGGCCACTGCCTTCTAGTCAGTCAGGGACAAAGTGGGCAGAGGCAAGCCCCAAGGCAGTGAAGGGCAGCTCAGCCCACCAAAGCAGCAGGCGAGTCCCCTCCCCCATCCATGGCATCTCTGCTCTCTTAGCTCAAGCACTCAGCTGCCCTGACCCCATGGGGCTGTGCCCTGGGCCTGGACCACTTGGTAGGACAGCTGAGATCATAGACACACACCTCGGCTGGAGCCCTTTATACCGTCCTCCCCCGGTGGTCCTCCAAACCAGAGCCTCACCCCAGGAGACACTGCCCCCTCCCCACCTCCGCATAGTGAGCCAGCTTCACAGTGTACAATGGAGACTCCCACTTGTGTCCCCTGCTGGCCAATCCTGCTGGCCACCAGCAAGCCTGACCTCAGCCCAGCAGGCCTGGGTGTGGAAGGGATTGCAGATGGGGGCCGGATGGCAGAGCTGGACCTGCTGCTGAAGGCCAGCATCCTTTCTGGGCACCTTTGAAGCGCTGCCGTCTCCAGGCCCCACACGCTGCTGTCCCCATCATGACCTGCATCCCTGCCACCCAACACAGGTTCTGCCTCTGGCCCTGCTGGCGTCCGGCTCACCTTGGTGCTTGCCCTAACAGTGGTCCTGGAGCTGACGTGAAGGCGCGGCCCCTCCTCCCGCCACTCCATCGGCACGGGCATCTCCACGATTGGTTTTCATTTCTTTTCTAAACTATTTCCAGTCTTGTTCTTAGTCTCTTTCTGTCTGTGTCTTGGCTTCTTCAATTGGTTTAATTAAAACAAACAGAACAATTTTCCCCATTTTGGTTTGTGCCTCTTTATTCTTCTTTTGTGGCAGTGACTGGGAACCTCCTGGCATCTAATATCGGGACAGACACTGAGAGGGGATGATAAAGGAGACAGAAGACATGTTTCTCCCCTAGGGTGAAGGTGCAGCTCCTTATCTCAATCACATTCCGACAACTAAGTGTGAGAAGTGGCCAGAGACTCTCAGGAAACCCAAGATTCCATGGGGCTGAGTGTAATTGTCAGTGTTGCCACTGGGATGCTGCATAACAAACCAGCCCAAATCTGGACAGCAGGCAACAAGAAGCATGTATAAGTATGTTCCTGTTCTGATTGAAGTGGCTCAGCTGAATGAGTAGGTTGAAGAGGCAGTGGCCACACCTGACATCTGATCTCTTTATGGTGAATCATCAAATCTTGAGAAGAGGGACCAGCAGTTAGCGTAATGGCTATGTCGCTGGACTCCCACGTAGTTGACCGCAGTTCGAGTCCTGGACCTGGTGGCTTAAACTTGTGCCAGGCGTGTGTGCGTGTGTGCCCAAGATCTCGAGAGGAGAATGGAGGAGAAGGGACTGCGGCATGGCCATCCCCCCTGGGGGGTGATTTCTCACTTTCTATCTCTCTGTCTCTCTGTCTGTCTGGCGAGTGCATGCACCCTATAGCAAAAACCTCTTCAAAAAAAAATCTTGAGAAGAAATCCAAACCATGCAAGCACATTTAAGGTCTCTGCTTGGGTCACATCCATGAACACTCCTTTAGTCAAAGCAGGTCACATGGCCAAGCCCTACACCAATCAGTTGGGATCATGGATAAGTTATTGGTAGAAATTTCCCAGAACTTTCTACTTTCCACTAGAAGATTCCTCATGCCATTCAATTACTAACTTAGAGAGAAGGCCACAAAAGGGTGGGATTGACCTCTCTGAGATATAGCCGAGATTTGATAATCACCAAGAAAAACCCCTGGAAGATCATATTGGTCTGGATGGGACTGGCTATGTCATATAACACATTGACCCCAGAGTCTTACTGGCTTAATGCAATAAAGATTTATTTGAGGTTCATGAAAAGCCCAAGGCTCCTTGATCAGTCTTCCATCTTGAATACCTGCTAGAACGTTCAGCCTCTTGAATCTTCAAGGCAGAGGAAGAGAGAGCTGGAGGATCACTGGAGTAGACAGAATTATGCCCCTCCAAAGATGTCCACATCCTAATTCCCAGAACCTGTGGAACAAGTTAGCTTCCAAGGCAAAAGCAATTTTGCTGATGTGATCAAGTTAAGAATTTTGACGTGCTAGTATCCTGAATTATCCATGTGGGCCCAATGTAGTCACGAGGTGCTTATAAGAAAGAGGCAAGGAGGTCAAAGGCAGGGGAGGAGATGTGACAACACAAATGAGAGGTTAGGACGATGCAAAGGGGCCACGAGGCAAAGAGGGCAGGCAGCCTCTAAAGCTGCAAAGGGCAAGGAAGCACTCTTCCTCTATAGCCTCCAAAAGGAACAGCCTCGCCAACACCTTTATCCCCGTAGACTCATTTCAGACTTCTGACTCCAGAATACTGAGAATAAATTTGAATTCTTTGAAACCACTGACTCTGTTACAACAGCAGCAGGAAACTAATACAGTCACACAGGATGTGATTAAGGGCCAGGCCTAGTACAGCCATGGATCATCTCTGCTCACACTCCATTGGCCAGGAATAGTCACATGACTTCATCGAACTGCAAAGGAGGCTGGGAAATCAGTCTTTCTGTGTACCCTGCAAGAGGTAATGGAGTATCAAACTCAAAGTGGGCCCAGAGAAGCTGGGGCCATTCAGTGACCATCTCCAACACTCTGTACAGGCCAGAGTGACCACTGAAGGGAGAACTGGGAGGTCCTAGCACCAGGAAAGATCTCACCTACCTCTGCTGCATGAGTTCTCTGGGCTGTTCCTCCTTCCCCAGCCAGGAAAACATAACATTCTTGAGTCCTTTATGCCTCTGCCAGGCTATGCAGATGTTGTAGGGAATCGGGGCCCATCCCTCCCAAGACCCCAGGCCTCGGCACAGTAAGCTGGGAATTAGCAGTGGCTCTGTGGCCTAGCTGTGACCTGGATGGCTGTTTTGATTAATTTCCACATTGCAGATCTCTGACTCTGTAACTTTTCCCTAGAAAGCCAGACTCAGATGTCCTTCCTACTGTGGCCCCTCCTCCGTTGGATAGCTAATTTGCTTTTCCGACTTCTTGTGGCCAAAACTCAACTCTCAGTTTTCCCTTCCAAGCCTTCCCTTTCTCCTGCGGTGATACCAGCATCAGCCCAGCTGCTGGAGTCAGCCATTTCCCTGTCATCTTTCACTCCTCTTTGCCCCTCATCTGTCCACATGACCCAATCCCTGTTGGCTTTCCTCTCAGAACTCACCCTGAATGCACCCCCTTCTCCCTTCTCCCTGCCTCGGCTCTGGAAAAAGTACCTTTTGTCTCAAAAGCTGCTCAGCATCCTACCTGGTCACCAGAGTCCCCTCGCCCCACCTGTGGTCTCCTCACAGCAGCCAGTGGGGGCCTTCTAAACATGAGTGATGCCACAGGCCTTCTTACCCAGAACCCTCCAGGGCTTCCCGCCACGCAGGAAATAGACCCGAGCCCCTTATCGGCCATATGGGATGCAGCCCTGTCTGCCCCCTGACTGTGTCATTCACACTTCCTGGTCTCCCTTGGCTTCATTCACACTCATCTTTCCAGTCCTCTACTCCCCAAGCCCATTTCTGCCTTGGGCCCTTGCTCTACCCATTCCCTCTGCCCGGAATTCTCTCCTGATTTGCAGGGCTGACTCCTTCTTGTCATTTGGGTAGCTTAACTACCACCTCCCTGGGGGGACCTGCCTAACCACCACACCACTCTTCATCACGCATCCTTCATTTGATTCTCGGCACATCACACATTTCTTCATTTACTCATTGACAGTCTTCCCCTCCCCAGTCAGAAGTTTATCCCTACAAGGACTGGTCTGAGTGTTCACAGCTGTATCCTCAGTGCTTAGACCAGAGCCTACACATGAGAGGTGCCCAGCAACTGTTTACTGAGTGAATGGATTCATGAATGAATGAACTCGCGAGGACCTGGCCCTGAGCTCTATGAATGACTAGGACCCTATCTTCAAGGAGCTCTCAGTCTAGTGAAGGGAAAGCACTTACACACTGAGTCATGGAAATCAAACTGATGAATATTCAGCACAGGAACCTCCCGCAACTCTGCAGCATTGAGGTGGGAGAGGTGCTTTCTGCAGGGGTGGGTGGAGTAGATCAGAGGAGAACAAAACGTGGAAGAATATGAGCAGAACTTTAAGAGAAAAGTACAGGTTGGCTGGCAGAGAATGGAGGAGAATATTCTAGACAGGGAGAGCAGCATGGGCAAAGGCTTAAAGGTAAGATGACTTGGCATATATTTGGAGTATGAGAACTTCAAAAAACACATTAATTAACTCAACAAATACTTATTAGCTATTCACTCTGGGTTAAGTAGTGTGATAAATGCTGTAGATCAAATGGCACACTGTCATGTGACCCTTGTATCAGTTATCTATTACTGCAATGATACTGCGTAACAAACATTCCCAAAATGTAGTTGTTTGAAACAACAGCTATTCATTCTATTTCATTAGCTATGGTCAGCTGCTGGTCTGGGCCAGGCTGGGCTCACTCTTCTGTCCTCAGTCAG